GGGTGATGTACCCCTAGCAAAACCGAAATTTTTTTTGGCAATATATTTATCATAAATCAATCAAGTCTCCCCCTCATGAGGAATTAGATAGGATGGCAAGGATGGAGTGATCCTCGAAGTTCACTTGACCCGTGGAAATTTTTAGAAAAGTAAGACGAGAATGGGCAAGGAGCATAGCCGGATTAAAATATCCTCATTTACTGTCCATTTACTTATTTATTTTTTTAATATGATTTAAATCTAAAAACATAAAAAAATAAGACTTTGAGGTTCCGTCCACACCTCGACTCCTAGATGTGAGGAGGGGCCATGCACAGCAAGGTATTCTTGCATCTTAGGAATGACATCGGGACGGGGATAGAGGAGAGGTTTCGGACTTGGTTGTTACGCTTAATTCAAGAGCAGTAATGCTTATAGTCATTCATTTTCTTGGATTTGTTTGGCTTGATATAAAAATTGTTACCTATGTGCAATGTCATTCTTTTAGCTTATAAGTAATTTCAGCAATTTAATTATATTTCTTGTTGGAAAATTCAATATATGCAGGATTGATCTCGAGTGAACAAGGAAAATCGTACTCATCAAACACTTGTAACTTATCAAGGATCGAAATCTTATAGTGCACATATGCATAAAAAGGTATTGTATAGCGAAATCCAATTACAAAAAAACCTCGTAGAGTGAAATTGAGTTTTTTCGTGACGTGCATTGTAATGCAAAGCCAGGTTGGAGAAATGAAGAAGTTGAGTTGCGTCAAATGTTACAAATATGTAACATATTCTTTGTAATGCTAATTTTTATTTGTTTCTTTTATATACGTATTGGTATAATCAAATGATTGAATACTCAAAACCCTAAGCCAAAATCAATCGACAATTCTATGCATTTGACAGAAGCTCAGGTTATCAAGAAAGTACTGAGTAAAAAGTATAACTATCTGAAAACTCATGGATTGACAAGGAATATTAGACTGGATGAAAGATATTCTCTAGGTCCTTCTTTGGATGATCCCATTTTTTGATGAATCTAAATTCAAATTTTATATGGGAATATCTAAATCCACTTTATGCTTCTTGTAGGTATAAAAAGTAAGTTCACATATATTTTTTTTACAATTTTCAAACGAAATGATTTGTATTTCCTTTGCACCTCTCCATCAAAGATGTTTCCGATTATTTTGAAAATCTAAATCACAATTTAGATTTATTTTATACTACGATTGAAAATACATTAAGTGAGCTAAAAACAATGAGAAATAATATTTCTCGCATAATCGCATTCCTCCAAATATTCTTCCACCCGATCGAGCAACCAAGCACGCCATCATCAGGCTTCAATTGAAGAAGAGTATTATAGTTTTCAAAACATAGAATTTTCATTCAATTGTCAGTTTT